AGGCATTTCAAATCTCGAGCTCTGCCCTGCCCATATTTTTGCACTCCCGGGCCCCATCTTCAGCCCTCCCCCCCTTCTGTACCATACCCTACCAGCTGCTAGCCCAGTTCAGACTCACCCCTACGCTCCACCCCCATAGGCGTATCTACAGGGGCTGTCGACAGCGTTTGCCGACGCCAGGAACAGTGAGTGTAACAGCGCCAGAGCGTCAACGTCAACGCTGGATCTCCCATTAACCTGAGGTACATCACTGTAAGGTAAGGTAAGGTGCTTGATGCGTAAGGTGCAGATTGAACTTATTAGCCGCTTTGCCTCCCACCTTCCTTTTCCCATCCAGATCCAATTCTTCTATACCACATCCCGCACTCTGTTGGTTCTTTCATATTGGGATCTGTTCTTCTTCTTCTACTTTTTTCTTCATTCTTCTCTGTTCTATCTACAACCCAATAAACTATATACTCCCCAAAGTAAACAATAGCATTCCTCCACTTTCAAACAGCATCCCCGATACGCTCTGTCATTCGTCGACCTGTTTTTTTGCTACGGCATTGGCGGACGAGGGCCCAGCTGCACCAGGTTCTGCAGAGCACCTATTGTGTCTTGGGACTGACCAGACGGATACCCCGAAGCCATCATCGCCACACACACAACCACCCCGTACCGTAACACCCTAGCACCAACAACATCGCTTGTTTATTTCGGTCGGATCTTCAGAGTAAAGAAAAAAAAAGGAGGCCGCAAAACGGGGAAGAAGAGAGTTCGTCAACAGTTTAACCGAGAAACCGTTGCCTTCTCGACAACCGTCTATTCTATGACGGATTAGTCTCGGGCCTATGTCATCCTAGCTTCAGCCTCCCTTAACTTCAGCTGTCATTGTCTTGCCTCTGCTCCATCTTCAGCTAGAGTCATCCCAACCGCCAAGCTTCCCAATTTCACAACAGCAACCATGGCCTTTCCTCCTCAATATAGAGAGCCTGCTCCGGCTCTCCCGAGCATTATAGTCCCTACCTCAGGCGACCGTTTCCGAAGCCACGCGAGTCATCACCACGAATTGCCTTTTAGTGGGAGCCCTGCCATGTCAATACCTGGCATGCCACCAAGAGACGACGTTCCTCCACCACTACCTCCTCCCCGATATCCCGGCTTCGATCAACCTAGTGCTTTGGCCGAAAGTATGAGGGAGAAGCGGGAATATGCTCATGGCTCTTTTGCAAGTGGTTACGGAAGCATGAACTCGTCATATCATGAAGATCGCCCTAGCTACCAGCGAAGAAGCAATACAGGCGTCTTTGGCGAACGAGATGAAGGTTATGCCAGTTACTCATCTACAGATAGGTATGGCTTATAGTGCACCTGACATTGGTGCAATTCAAGCTTCCAATGGCTTGAAAAAAACCTTGGATCAATGAACTAACATTGTATAATCACAGGTCCCGAGAATCCGCCCCCAGTGGCTTCGGCCGCCTACACAATCATTTCCAATTCCAGTCCCCTGCCGATATACATGGAGATACCCTCAAGAAGAAGCTTGACCAAACTCGACCTTTGGAAAAGTCGCCGCCTCGATCACTTCTTAGCTCATCAGCCAACGAGCTCCTCTCACGAAGACCTTCAGCGGAAGGTCGATTCCCTCCAGCCCTCAGCGTACCAGTACAAGTACAGCTCCCTATCCACTCCCGAGGCATTCTAGGATCTCCCGCAAGGTTGACAGATACACCAATTCACTCCGCCATCTCTCCACGAAGCACACCCTTCTATCATGGTGATAGATCACCAAATGATAGCTCAGATATCGATCGTTCACCTCGAACACGAACAAAGAGGAACAACAGCGATGATGCTACTTCAACAAATAGCTATGACTTCACTGGAGCCGAGGATATGGAGATGGAAGATGGACAATCACTCAAGCGACTACACATTGATGATGCTTATATGCCAGGCGGTCAAAAGAGACGGGCGGCCAGTCCCAATGACGAGCACATGCTTGGCATGCCAGATATGTCTCGACGCCGTGACATGAGCTCACGGGGATCTCCTCAAGGTCGATTCAACTCGCTCTCTCGAGGTGTCACTATGCCTTCGGTCTCAACTTCACGATCCAACTCATACATCTCCAACATGTCAATGTCCATGCACCCGGCTGGTCTTGCGACTGCCAATTCGTTCGGTCGACGCTCACCTGTGGGACCATCTCCCGGTGGCATCTCACCTACATCTTGCAATTCACCTTACACTGCTCCCGTATCGCTCAACCCAAGCCCTCGAACCTCCATCTCTGGCCGGGGATCAATTCACTCTAGGACCGTTTCGGGTGCTAGCACACGTAAGATCACTGAGGTGCAGAAGCCTGGCGGAACCAAAGTGCAAGGTTTCTTCATGTGCGAGTGTTGCCCCAAGAAGCCTAAGAGGTTCGAGACGATTGAGGAACTCAAGTAAGTCAGATTTCACACTCAGCAGCCCCACTTCAGATGAGGCTGCGTGAGATTATAGGGCTCGTCGTTTATGTTTCAATGCTAACCAACAACTAGCGCTCACGAGGCTGAAAAGCAATACGAGTGTTCGTTCTGCGGCAATCGTTTCAAGAACAAGAACGAAGCAGAGCGCCACCAGAACTCACTCCACGTGCGCCGCCATTCATGGTCATGCTCAGCTCTCTCCGGATACGATAGGGCTTTCCATGATTCTACCAACAGACCTGGCGAAGCTGACACCTGCGGGTACTGCGGCGACGAATTCCCACGATCTGGACGTGGCCCTGGTACAGGTGCCTTGAGTGGTGGTAATGCGCCTCGGCACGCCACGGACCAGGACTGGGATGAGCGTATCAGGCACCTGCAGGAAGTGCACAAGTTCCGAGAGTGCAACTCGTCCAAAAAGTTCTTCAGAGCGGACCACTTCAGACAGCACCTCAAGCACAGCCACGCGGGCACCAGTGGAAAGTGGACCAACATGCTGGAGAATGCCTGTATGTTGGAGGAAGACCCAACTCCCCGGTAAATGGACACAGTACAGTACAGGTTCGGCCGCGGATGGGCACCAGAAAACAAAGACCTACAGGTTCGGCCGCCAAATGACGAGTCAATGCTAGAGCGCTGGTGGGTGTTGGTGATTCAAGATAAGTGGAGGATCAGTCGGAAGAGGGCGGGATACAAAAAGGGAATCGCCGGCGCCCAGAGAAAGGAAAAGGATCAGTGGGTCAGAATCCATGGAGTTTCCATTGGAAGATCAGCATCGAAACACTGGCCAAGAAATCGATCAGCGTTTTGCAGTCAACGAGCCCGTTGGGATGTTTGGAAACAACAAGCCGGCGGCAATTGTACGACGTTCCGCCCGCAACAGACCACCAGCTATCCAAACAGTATCTGGAATGGCAAGGCATTTGACAGACACGGAGAAAACTCTGTATCGCGTGGGCGGATTGCCGCATGAGCATGATGCAGATGCGGCAAGTCCAAAACGAATCAAGGTGCCGCTCCAATGCAGCCGTTGATCTCTTTGGATCAATTGGGGTATTCCGCGTGCACCTAACGCGCGCAGATGCGGTTGTCCGCACCCGGCCATTGGGCTGCCTCTCAGGGCTGAAGCACGAATGTGGCAGTGCTGTCGGAAGGGAGGGACAACCGCCAAATACTACCTTGGCATGTTCCGTTGCATCTACGAATATTGCAATGCAACAGCGTTTTAACGTTTTACCGGCAGCTCCAAGCGACATGGAACCACTGTCTGTGTGCATACATACTCGCACTTGTGGCGACCAATCAACCATGGCCTTCTGATACAGGGTTCAGGTGAAGGAAGGCTCATAGCCTGACAAACCTGAAATGCACATGGCGAAATGAGTTTGACGATGGATGAAAAGCAGGCGATGGCACAAATGAGAAGATGCAGGCCTGGGGCCATGTGTCTGTGGATGCGCTACTTTCTGACTGGGCTTGAGATCCCTGCCGACAACCCAGTCACGGATGAGCTGCACGACTGCCGGAGTTTGGTAATGGAATGGAGTACATACATACAAGAGGAGATCATGGCAGAAAAAGCCCAGGCGTTGTCTTTAGAGGTTAGCACTTCAGCTAATGCTCACCAACAAGCGAGCGAGGATGGATGGATGTCGGCAAGTGAAATAGGGAGGACAAAGGCTTCACTTCGTATACATATTAGCTGGCACAGCTTGATGCTGATGTCGCATGCATCATCTTATGGGTCACGGTACAAAAAGGTTCAATCATGGTAACGGTCACGGTTCATTGGCGCGGCATTGGGACACATGGCGTTGTTTATTGTTTACTATTTGAGATTTCAGGTTAGGGACATATGAGACAGACTCGGTCATGTAGATATAAAGTAGTCTGACAAGATAAAAATTGTAGTTCGAACTCTTAATACCTCAGTTGTCTCTGCAGTGTTCTGTTCTGTTCAACCATTGTGACGCGATGCACCAGCCAGTTGCAGTTTGTGAAACATAGCGTACCCAACGCTGAGGTTGCGGCCGTTGCAGGGACCAGGAAAAGACGGCACATCCAATTTCTTTGTAAGGCTTAGTTAGTTGGGAAGATCTACAAGGCTTTCCAAAGGGCATTCACTCCATCAAGCCTGAATATGAGAATTGAATGCAGAGTTGCCTCGGGCACCGGCAAGTCCATAATCAGACAAGAACACAGCGGAATTGAAGCGCATACCTTCCCCTTTGGGCAATTCGTGTCGCGTAAAATTGTCTGTCTGTTCAGCTGAAGGGTCTAAAAGTTCAGCTGGCTGGGTTTGACGTTTCTAACACCACCCTGGACGCGGAATTGGGATGCATCACGTGATGATTCGTATAATTGTACTGTTGGGGACGTGCTGTCTGGGGGAGTCCGAGCTACGAGGTCCATTCCATTCGTGGGATAGTTAGTTGATGGATTTATTTGACGGAAATAGATGAGACGATGGATGCTTTGAATTGATGATGGGATTTGAGAGAGTGTGGCTGGTGAGAAGCTCAAGTTGAAGTGTGGCGTTGGATGGTATGGCGGGGTAAATTGGTGTGGCGTAGAGGTTAAAGTGGAAGGAGGGGCAAAAAGATGGAAAAGTTGTGGAAGTCATGATTCACACCGAGGTTGAAGCTTAATTTATTTTACTTCCTCGGTTTCGAGTTTCTCATGACTGATCTATAAGAACCACTTTCTTTCTGTTGATTGCAGAGTCTATCATTGTCCTCGAAATACCAAAATCTACGAAGCGATAATATCTAGGCCACTATTGCGACTTGCGACAGGCGCACAATCTGGCTGAAGACGATTCCACAAGCGCCGATCAGGCATACAAGGTTTTCACATCGAAGGACAATCAGGAGGACGATTTGAAGCCACAGCAGTGGGAGGAATTTGGCCACACATTTGAACCTGGAGAGCTTGAACTTCTCAAGCAAAGTATCGCTCAAATGGCTCTCAGCAGGATCGACGGCCAGGATGAGCTATTCGTCGGAGGGTAGGACTCTCTCACCACTAAACAATTTACGGACATGCAGTGCTAATTATTCCCTAGGCTCTGGGCCTTGCGACGCTCAGACTCGCTGACGGATCGTCGCATCACGCATGTCCTCTCCCTCGTCCCATTCGACATATCAAGCCTCAAAAACTTCAAGGACGAACCGTGGATCGATTACGGAAAGGACCTACAACACCAAGTTATCGACATTGACGATGTGGAGGACGCTGACTTGCTGATTGAGCTGCCCAAGGCTGTCAGATTCATCGAGGAAGGTCTAGGCGCGAGCTGGCTTGCGAAGGATGAGGAGGAGGATGGGGGCGTCTCGTTAGAGAAGGGTGTCGAGGACCTCGATATCGGGGAGAAGAAGAAGAAGAAGAAGGGAGGCGTCTTTGTTCACTGTGCGGCTGGAAAGTCGAGATCTGTTTCGGCGGTTATTGCTTACTTGCTTAGGCGGTATCCAAGCCGCTTCGACCCCAATATCACGCCGACTGCCATTTCGGATCCGACCCACTCGGTTCCCCAGACTGGGGAGAAGCGTTCGAGAAAGGATACCGCTAAAGAGGCTGTCCATGCTGCACTTACGTTTGTGCGCAGGACTCGACCCATGGCTGAACCTAACGAGGGATTCATGGAGCAGTTAGCCTTGTGGTGGGAGATGGGTTGCCCGGATGATGTCGAAGGACACCCTGTCTATCAGCGGTGGGCTTACAAGCGTGAAATTGATGAGAACCTTGCAGTAGGCCAGGCACCGACGAGGCTTCGTTTCGAGGATGAAGAGACCCAGCCTCGTGATGACTCGGGTCTTAGTCTACGATGTAAGAAGTGCCGTCGAGCTTTGGTCACGGCACCCTTCATTGTGGAGCACAAGCCTTCTGACAAGAAGTCCTCGGCGTCTACATGCCAGCATTACTTTGTCGAGCCACTTAGCTGGATGCGCGGGGTCCTTGAACAGGGAGAGCTCAACGGAAGATTATTATGCCCTAATTCAAAGTGTGGCGCTGGTGTAGGCCGGTACGACTGGAAGGGCTTTCGGTGCTCCTGCGGCGGGTGGGTGACGCCGGCGTTCTCGCTGCAGAAGGCGAGGGTCGACGACGTCGTCAAGCGGCCGGCGACTCAGAGCATGGGCATCCGGATGCCGCCCGGGTTAGCTCCACGGAGCGGAAACTTGTGAGGACAGATGAGGGCGGAATTACTACCAACCAATACTACACAAGAGCGCCGCATAAACACCGATTCAGGCCCATGTTACCGATCCGTGCCTTGAGAGACCCGTCCTCCGCGGACCCGTCTGTTATGTCCGGTTCTTAAGGCAAGCCGCATATTGCTTGACAGGTCCGTCTGGACATGGAGCTTTGCCCTTCTCGAGATACATTCCGCTCTGGCATGATGCATCTCTCATGGCGAGCGAGCCACTGGGAGAGAGGCAGCAAAAGCCGGCGGGGTACCAGGCGGGATCAAAAAGCCCTAGGGCTTACAGGGCGTGAGGTGTGCGCCGTGGAAGGGAGAAGAGAAAGTGTGTCGTGGTGCATTTTGCATTTCGTCGTGGATAAGCCGGGAGACTCGGGCTGCATGAAGAGGGGATCTTCGCAAGAGCAGATGGTTCCTGGGAGACAAAGTCCGACGGAGAGAAAAGGGAGTCCGAGTTCGGGGTCCAGTGAAGAAGAGCACAAGGCATAGGCATCAGCACTAGACCTCGTTGGAAGTGTCGTGTCACCTCTCTACCTGTCAGAGATCCGATCAACATCCAGGCAGAAGAAAGAGCAACATGCGCACGCCTCTGTCTATACATACAATAGAGCCCTACAACTCTGCATGAGCAGATCCTTCGAATGTTTAGCTCCATGATTCGACGTCTTGTCGTCTTATTCCCATGTGGATCTCGTTCTCCATAACCGCTCTACTTTCAACTATCTAATCTAATCGAGGCAATTCTGATGACAGCCCTAGCTCGAATCCTTCTATGTTGGCCCGGCGTCTTACATCGCTCGCTCGATCCACCACGGAATTCCGACATAGCCCAGCCACTAACTGACATGACTATAGGGCTGATCTCAGGATTTAAAACCATGAAAAAAGGAAAACAAAAGAAGAAATCACGAAACCTGAATACGCTGGGCTTACTGATATACCCCGTTTCGCCTTGGTCTGAAACCCACATCGGGCGTAAGCCAGTCAGCACCACCGTCTTCACCCTTGGTTGAAGGATCATACGCATTGTGGGAACAAGAACAACCTTGGATGTGAGCTTGTACAGCGGGGACATTTTTGTCCAAAGAGCCCTTTCTTACCTATCGCCATTTGATCTATGATGCGTCAAGGCGGAGAAAAAAGAAGACAGCGCTGTCTTGGCGGTTCCGCTTACGCCCGGCGATTGCCCTTTGGGGTATATACTTTATCTGTTTGTCTTACAGCGACATTCCAGCCTTTTGAGGGCTGTATTTAGCCCTATTTTGTGTGTGAAAGTTGGATTTATCTAGACGCCATTCTTAGCGGGCATAGCTTCGATGTTGGTCATAGCTCCCCTTGTCTATTCTCATGACGTCTTTGCTCGCATCTTGATACCGCTTTTGACCTCGATGTTCTTGATCATGGGGGAGTGAATAGTATGGACTAACTAGTTGGTTTGCTGGGAGCTAACTAGTTAGCAACTATCTACCCGCAGCGTACCTCATCGACGGGTGCATCTTACTGCATGACACGTTTTTCCCATCTTGGGTTAGAGTGTGTGTTGACAACGAATGTTTGGAGCGGTCCTTCAGAGATGCAACGGTGCGAACTTAGCGAAGCGAAGGAATATGAACGATACCTCGGTCTTGTTCATGAACTGACCACTTGAGAGTCAGCCCTATCTTGTAGCCTGCCTCATACAAAGTTATTCCAGCAAGGCCCTAGAACAAGGGCAGAGTAGCACTCATCTAGGCTCGTTCAACAAGGAGGGGCGTGGTCTATTTCATTCCCACTCACACCCACCCCTGAAAACGATACATGCTCGTCTGACAGCATACAAGTACCCAACATGCTCAGTTCGTCTATCTATCCCCGAAGGGAAAGGCACGCGTTTTTTTCTCCCTCTGACTGCAACCCCAACCCACCGGAAGGATTTGTAGCCGTTGGACCCCTTCATAGATCTGCGGGAAGTCTTTTTCCTTGGGTCTTGCGCTGTCAACAACCCTCGGCATTCCCGATTCATGAAACCTGGAAGAGCATGAAACTTGATGGGAGCGTTTATAGAAACGATGAGGAAAACTCTATTTTGAGCTACTGCATGGTGTCATACCCTCCGTTGCCGATGTGTGTGGTTGTATTTTGTATGGAAGGGTGCTCTTGTTGTTGTTGTCGCGCGATCACTGTGACGAGCCCGAGCCGTCGGTACTTGGCGTAGACCGCTTCTCTCTTTCAAAGAGAGAAATATTCTTGGAGAGTCACATGTCTTGTTTTGCATGTCTCATGTCAGCCCTATAATCACGCTGTGGAGTATACTCGGACTCGGGGACTTCAAGTCATGAACAAAAAGACCACAATATGTGGCTTGTCACCAAGGAAAAATGAATAAATGACGCTATTCTATATCATGCCATTGCATGCGACGGCATCTAGGATGATTCAGGTCCTTGCAGGAGTAGTGCTCTCAATGCATGTCACTCCCCTCAACCTTTCGATCATCATGTATATCTGCGGTCATCACCTAGAGAGAAAAGAAAAGCCCATTCCTCTCTCCACTGTTGTATTACAAACAATAGCATGATTCTAAATTCTTATTCTCGACGTGATGAATCCTTTGACTCGCTCTTCTCTCGGATCCGAAGCTCGTCAGGTCACCGAGTCTATATGCTTACACCCAAGAGCTAGATGCCGTAATTCTGCGGAGACTCTTACAAGGATGTAAGCTACCAGAAATCGTAACCTCGACACCGCTTCACGATGGCTTTCCTGTCTTTTACTTGGAGCCATTGGTGTGTGGTCATGATACCCCCTCAATTGGAACTCGACGATAACTGATCAATCAGACCTTAGAGCAAGCGAGCATCACATCACAATGATAATCACAGTCTTGAACTTGTATGTCCTCTGAGTGGGAGTTGTCGCGGCTCTTCTAGCTGTTGATTTCTAAGCCTAAAAGATGTAAAAGTAAGCACTAAGTAGCTCAGACGCCCCCGCACCCTGAGGGTCACATCCCATGGCTTTTCCCTATCCTGTCAGACGTTTTATAATGCGAGATCAGTACAAGAATCCCATGGTCGTGTGTTTACTAGCATCGGGCGATGTGTGTGTGTGCAGTCCCCTACGCTGAAGCCAATCATGGTGTAGTTGGTCTGCATGGGAAAACTTGCAAGACCAATGCAGCTGTTTCAATAAAAGGACATAATCGTCGGCATAATGGCACGCCAAGATTGGATGTTTCTCTGCGCTTGTGGCTTGCGTCGTAACGAAACCGAACGTTGCAAAGGTTTAGCGTCGTGATGCCGGAGTTTACGGTTCACTGGTAAATCCGTGACATGACTTGACTTGCCTAAATAGGAAGCCAGTTATGATCAAAAAAGTACCTAAACTAACTGATGTGATATGTAATAGCGAAATCTCTGCAGTTTGTGGAGAGTGGCTTGAGGACGGCGGTGGTAGTGTGTTGGCATACGGGCTCAAAGGACGGGAATTCTGAAATGAGAAGATTGACTAAGTTGTTACAAAGAGCTTGAAATGCATCCAGGTTAATTATAGAGCGGCAAAGTAACTGAGTTGCCACTGAGTTGCAACTGGATTGTCGATGTAACAAGCGTCAAAAGATGCGAGGTATTACTTCAAGACCACACGTTCGCCTTCACATGGAACGTTTCTCCCCATGTGAGATATGGGAGCCTTGGGGGGCAAGAAAACACCGAACCTCGATACAAGGTATCAAAATAAACTAAGTAAAGAGTACCCTAAGCTTAAGAGTTTTCTTTCCTCCCCTAGGGGAGGTAAATGGCACCAGACCTTGATATGGGTTTTAAATTGAACTCAGCAAAAGGTGATTTTATTGGTACTACTACTGCTGCCAACTACCCGACGGCATGACCCTGAATTCAGGAGTAATGTATGGCCCATACCAGAAATGCAATTCACCCTCAAGTTTGTATTCTTCATATTCAGTATAGTTGCTGTGACGCTGGCCTCGACCAAAGTATACCCGCATATTCATAAACTGGTCGGGGGCACGACCAGGACCAGGCCGGACCCATCTCTCGACAAACATGTATGTTATTGGTGCAAAGATGTAGCTTTCTCTCAAACGCTCACGGCCTCTGAACCGCGCGCAGTCGCCGATGAACCTGCTACCCCCGCCCTCATAATATATATGCATCCCTATAAACCCAGGATCATCATGGTTTTCTTTGACTAAAATGCCGCTGACGTTCTGTAGGGGAGCCCATGACCAGGCAGGTCGGTGAGGGTAGAAAAGGGGTCTGAAAGATGGCATCGGCGGTCCAGTGATCAGGGACTCTTGGTCCGGTGTAAGGGCATCTCCATAGGCAGCAAACGGAACACAATGTTTCGGAAATATATTGTATTTCCCTCTGGAGAGGAACAAAAGCTGTGGGCGGATGCGGTACCTCAAAGAGAATATGTTGCCATTCGTGAGGTTGTTCGGATCCGCCTGTAGTCCCGCATGTATAATGCCTGATGATCGGGTATTAAGCAGTATACTGTAGTTGTCCCCATTCAATCGGATCTCCAGCCACAGTAAGTCTCCTTCAAGTGCCGGAAAATGATGTAGTATGGTGAAATTCACTGGCAGTGTATAACCGCTAGCATCTGAATGATGCCCCAAAGCAAAGGGACCTCCAAGAATAGAAGCTGCGTTTTGCGAGCAGAAGAATGTGAGATTCAAATGAGTGATGTTGTTGAGGCTTAATACACTGATATCAGTGGCTCGAGGGACTGTCTCATGTAGCATCCTGCAGCCCTCAAGTTGCAAGAAGCGCCTGTCATCTTGATAGAGTACCTTTGGTGGTTTCTGAGTGTCCCAAGTCGGGAAGCCAGGGTGCTCCAGATGTGCCGCCGTCAAATAGCAGAGCCCATACTATATCATCAGTGAACCATAAAAGTATGCTAGGGCTGGGAATGCTAACCTAGAAGTAGACTTTGACGGATTCAAGGTCTTGGTTGTTGGCGACAACGTACTTCCTGGGCGTCAAAAGGGTATCGTGGTTTGGACGAGGATGTTTGGGTTTGGGAAGTTTCTGGATCTCGCGTATACCGTCCGGATCAAGACTGATGAGAAGATATTCGCTATCTCCTAGAGGTTCCCCTTCGACTGGTAAATCGTCATCGTCGCCGCGCTTCCAACGCGCAATGCGGGAGATATTCTTTTCGATCACAGGTCGGGCCGGAGAAACAAAACCTTGTAAGTACAGGAGCTGCACCACATTCCAAAAATAGGCATCTGGGCAATAAGATCGAACCATATCAATAAGTTCCATAGGAAGTTTTTTGAGGCGTGGATCTGCCATTTCTACGGATTTATGGCTGATATGGCGAGGTCCAGGAAGGTCCATTACTCTGGGGAAAATACCCATGAAGTCGAAGCGGCGCCATCCCATAGCTCTCCCGAAGCAGTTCATTTCGGCTTGCGACCGTTGATTGCCGCGCTTATACAGCATGGTTTTGAAACATTTGAGATGTAGGGCCAAGCTTGTAAACTGCACGAGCAACCAAATATTCTGTCTTGGAACAAATACACCCAAGCAATGACTCGGGTTGGGAAGAAACTCATGCAACCAATCTCCGGTGGGATAATCAGGACAGCGAAATTGAACCGCCCATGCTTCTGTTTCGGCGATAAGTGTCTGACAGCCGTCGCACCGAAAGTTGCCAAATATGCTGGGCATTATTGATGAGAATAAAGATGGATGTTGTGTTGATGGACGAGTTTGAGTATGGATGATCTGAGAAGAGAGTTGCCTAAACAACTTGTGGTAAGTTACCCAAGAACTTTTGTCATTGAGGATAAAGGTCCCTACCCGAGTTTTCTTTCCTCCCCAAGGGAAAAGAAATGGCAGGCATAAGGTAGCATGGCGAGAGAAGGACATTTACTTGTTCCTGCCCCTGAACTCCTTGCCTTGCCTTGCCTTCAGGTAGCAAGACTTTTGGAGAATGTTAGAACAAACCTGGACTAGACTTACCTAGACATCTTTATCGCTTAGGGGTCAAGATCCCAAGCTTCTCTGCCTCGCCTCAGGTAGCTTGCCTCAGCTTGAACGGGCTGCTACCCAACGTCCACGATTCCTTCATGAGGACTTGCCGTAGAAACGAACAGTTTGACACAAGAACTTTGAATGTATTAACTCAAACCTACATCACCATCCCAGCACCACAGCCGCTGCACCAAAACACCTCTAATATCCTCACAAACACCAACACCAACAGCGTCATCTCCTGTCATCGACTGGGCGCATCAGAGGGCACAGAGGGAAAATAACCAGGCTTTGACGCTCGTTCCCGATCAGCTTTCGCCGCTTCAACTTGTCGTTTCTTCAGCAATCTTTGTTGGTAAAACGCCCTGCTTCTGTTAATATGATGTCTCCCGAGCAAACGAACAACATACGTTTTCAGCTCAAATACACGGGGTTCTTCCTCAGCAGGGGGAGTTTTGTCTTCCTTGTCCTACAAAAGTCAGTCACGCAAAGACAAACTGGCGTATGTACTCACCTTGTCTTCATCCTTCTTCTCATCCTTCTCCTCCTTGTCTTTCTCCTTCTCCTCATCCTTTTCCTTCTTATCTTTCTCCTTATCCTTCTTTTCCTTCTCCTCTTTTTCCTTCTTCTTCTTCTGCTTCTCCTCATACTCCTTCTTAACCCTCTCCTTCTCCTCCTCTAACTCTCTCTCCCTCTTCCTCTTCGCAGCCTCTTCATCAATCTTGGGCGTGCAAAAGTACCGATCTTTCAGGTGAACCGGACAAACAAAGAAGAAATCCTACCAATGCCAATCACATAAGTTTAAGGTTACACTGTATTTGCTTTCTCATGTCAGTGTCCCGCATACCTTTTGATCAGGTGTGATTAGCACTGATGTGCTCGACTTGTAGCAGATATCGCATGCTTTGGCTGCTGTATCAGCAACCTTGCGGAGCGTGTAAACGTTGGGAAACGTAGTCGCCATGATTGTGATTCAGAAATCGACAAATACTGTAAGACAAAAAAGATCTGTTTTGTTTACTACGGCCTCCTGACGGGCTCGTATCACACGAGGTTTCGGTGAATAAGGCTGGGCTGGGTTGGGTATTTCGCGGGGAAGCGCCCCGTCCGACTTTGACGTCAGCACCTGATAGGGCGGACTATCCCCTGAAAGGGTTTGACAAACAGCACCTGTAACCCGCCAAAACTAGCGCCAGTCCCTGACTAATAAGCGCCCGCCCGTCATGAATCGTTATCTTATCGCAACTTTGCAGCAAATATGATGACCTATGCATATCCGATCGCCACAAGCCAAACTCCTAACAATTCTCTTGCACCCAATTTTTCAACCCCCCAATCTTCTTTTTAAAAAAAAAGCAGAGATACAATTCACGGCAAGACGATTGGATTCAGTCATGGGCAAAATGCTCGATACGGAGAAGCTGGGTTCGGTATTTGGAACCCGGCCGGATATTCTTGAAGGAATCCAGAGAGCTGCTGGTAAACAATACCCCTGAAGATGTTTATTCGCGAAATACTAACTCTAGAGTCTAGATACGCCTGGTCGAATCGCTTTGTTCAACGAAATTGCGACTCATGTTTACGATCAGTTATTAAATGGGGGTAGCGAGCCCGCGCATAAGAAGAGAAGAGTTGATGTTCAAACAAACGGAGGCGCGAATGGTACAAAGGCTGTCAAGACCGAGACGAATGCCGCAGATGAGGCTGTCCTTCTCGAAATCAAGGAGATTTCGGTTTCTGTGCCCCAGAGGAAGAAGTTTGAGTTGTGTTTTACCGACGGCCACATCTACGCTCGCGCGCCAAACACAACAGCACCGATTCCAGCTATAACCTACGCGTGGTCAGACATTGGTACGCGTTATCGCATTGTTGTTATGGTTCACATGCTAATCTTGCGTCAGAATATGTTTTCTACCTCCCCGTACCTGAGAAGAACCAGGTCCAGCACAACTATGTCATTTTCCCACGAGGAACATGTCTCCCTTCTAAGACGAACCCCCCGACCGAAGAGCCACTCGTGTTTACAGTTCCCGCGACTCCCCCCAAGCAGGGCACGATAGGCGGACCTGACGCTGGAAGTGCCGCGGCAGTTTCGGACAACTACAAGTCTTTGTTCCACTGGGCTTTGAACCGTCATCTCAAGCCCAATGGCGTCAGCATTACTTCAGCCGACCCCGGCAAGTTCCAGAGCATGGTTCGACAACCCCATCGACCGAGCGAGAAAGCCGTGCATGTCAAGGCCTTCAGGGGCTCCAAGGACGGATACCTTTTTTTCCTCGAGAACGGCATTCTCTGGGGTTTCAAGAAGCCCATGATGTTCATTCCCCTGAGCCGTATCGCCGCGACGAGCTACACCAACATTCTCCAACGAACATTCAACATTGCGATCGAGGTCTTTGCGGGCGGAGGTGATGCGACCGAAGAAGCTGAGTTCTCCATGCTGGACCAGGAGGACTACAGCGGAATCGACGATTACATCAAGAAGCACCGTCTCCAAGATCGCAGTATGGCCGAGCAGCGAAAAGCCAAACTTGAACTGGCAGAGAACCGCGGACCCAAGAAGAACGGCGAAGAGGCTGGAGACGACGCACCAGCCGCAACTGGTATTTCTGAACTTGCAAAGGCGGAGTTAGACGCTGAGCAAGCACTACAAGATGAAGAGGATGAGGATGAGGAGGACTACGATCCTGGAAGTGATGCGGACTCTGACGGTTCAGGGGAGTCTGATGATGATGACGACAGTGACGACGACGAGGAGGATGAGGAAGACGAGGAGGATGCAGAAGGAGAAGCCGAAGACGGCGATGAACAAGCTGAGGGCGAGGAGGAAGAAGAGCAAGAGGAGGTGAAGCAGGAGCCAAAGCCTGTCAAAAGAAGCCGGAAAGCTGCCCCTCAGCCAACAGAACCTGTACCACCACCACCAAAGCCCACCAAGCAACCCGTTCAGCAGCCCGCCGTGAAGACAGGCTGGGCAGCACTACGAAGTGTTCCTCGAGCACCAGCCCCTGAAAGTATGGACTTGGACGAGGAGAAGTTTGATGTTGTCTGATGATGCAGGGGCATGTACATATGTAACAATAGACTTGGCGGAATATGAACAACGGTGGTGCGCACAGCATAGGAGTCGAGGAACACGAATATCATCGGTGCTGAAACGAACACTGGTCGATGTGAATGTGTTATTGATACAATCTTATCGATGTCTGAAAGGGAAAAGAAAGTCTCGACAACAAAGGGGGTGGTAAGGAGACCTAGGATATTATTCCGTTGTGGAACTTCAAAGCAAGCGACTTTCGCTAGTCTTGTCCTCAACCTTGAGCCCATCCTTATTATCATCAACGCCTGTCCTCACTATTGGGAAGGCGAGGACTTCAGTGTAGTCAGATAGACCTGGGTGGTACTCAGCAAGGAGTACTCTACAATTGCCACAGTGATGGTAAACATTCTTGAGCCTTTTGATGAAGTAGGGTATCCATGCCAGCCAAAAACCGATGGTGCTGACGACTATGGCCAAGGCCGCAGCACTGAACATTTGTGTCAGTAACAGGTCTTTCCCAAGGAAGGCAAGGACAAACTCACTGAGTCGTATTACCGGTTTTTTCCCTTGTGATAGTCCTGGCCCTGACTTGACACTTTGGGCAAACGACGTAATCACTCCAACGTTCCAGTTCACCGAGCCGCACACTCCGGGGGAGATTCTCCTTCAGCTCTGGCTCCAGGGGATCTTCGCGGCCATCTCCTTTCAGATGTGCAGGAGGTGAGCTTGTAACTGGTGGCTTGGCGAGCGGTGAGCTGAATTCGATAGACCTTTTGCTTGGAGGCTTCTGGTTGTCGTCCTCGAGGGAGTGATGTGCATGATGTTGATGATGCTCGGGGTTGGGTGCTGGACCTCGTTAGCAAGATAATCATGTATGCACACGAGGAGCGAAACGTACTAGGAGTCTCCATTGTGAATATTGATGTAGTGTACCACTGTTGATAGGAAGAGGTCTGAAGCTGGTGTCGTTTAGTGTCGATGACCTGGCCCGTTCTTCCAAAAGAAGTCTTGTAAACGGGCACGGGTGAGGATGAGGATGAAAGGATGAAGTCAGAAGTTTCCTTTCCACTGCGCAAGGTAAAAGGTAAGGTAAGTAGGTCGTCAGTCACGCAGCCTCCTGATCAAGGAAAGAACCAAGCACGGCAGGACACTCCTGTTCTCGGCAAGAGAGTTCAGCGTGCGGAAGGTGGCCCTCAACATTTTGGTGAAGAGTCAGTGATGTCGGGAATGAATGAATGACCCAATTATCACTCGTTCACCGAAAGTGCGAATCGTGGCCGACATCTTGAGCTTGGCTTGCAAGAGAAAGGCCACAGCCGAACGGTCAGTGTTGAATATCAGCGCCGAAATAAAACTTCGGTCAAATTGAAGAACTGCGTGTTATCTTGTCGTTATTAGTATGCGCAGTTAATTCTTGTTCAACAAAGCAATGCTTATTGCTGTAAACACTCTCATTCTTAACGTAGGAGTTTGATGCTATACTGGGTTGTTGATGGAAACATGCATTGCTGATTGAAGTTGTGCCTGGGCCTATCACACTCTCCACAGACAGCAAAAAAAAAAAAAAAAACAATATCTCCAGAGAATTCAATACGATCAATTACAATTCAAGTATTTGAATCAGAGAAACTGTCTCATCCTCTCCATCTCGAGATGCTCATCAACGTGCCTTCAAGTTCCAAGCTCTTATCTTATCATCAATCTTATCACCATCTCCACACCACGTGACCCCTTCCAAACTTTCCACTCCTCCATAACCGCATCACGACCTCAATCGCTATATCAATCCAATCCAATCCCCCGTACAATCCCTTCAAAATGACCGGCCGACACAAAGCAATCCGTCTTCCACCCCTCAAGACCCTGCGCGTCCACAACCCCAAGCGCCAGGTCGAGAATCCCTGTATCGCCATCATGTCCAGCGTTCTCGGTAAACTCCCCCCTCCCCCACGACTCAAACCCAATTATGAGTACCAGTTTCGAGAACCTGTCACTAACAAGTTACAAGCATGCTGGGCCTCAGCAGGTTACAACGCAACGGGCTGCGCAGCAGTAGAGAACCAGCTCCGCAAATGCATGGACGGTCCGCCTCCTCCCCCCGCGGGCACGAATACGATTAACTACCATCTCGCACGAATGCAAAAGTACATGACCGGGCCGAGGAAGCAAAAGTAGAAAGGGACACAGAAAAGTAAAGAAGAAGGGTTATGCATTTTGGGCGTCGGAAGCGCTGCTTTTGCTGGGATGGGATTGGATTCGAGACATGTACAACAATACCCGCACAGGGGATAGAAGGGCGAGATGTATAAATATCGCTGTACGATACAGTTACAAGTACAATTCAAGTCATGACAATTTGAATCAACGAAAAGCTGGTATTCAATGGCATGTGGTTACGGACTCAGTCACAGCATGATATACGAGACGGACGGAACAGTTCATTCAAAGTGTTTGCATTTCACTACCTCACTCTGCACAACACCTAATACTCAAATCAACAACTCTACCCATCATAAGGCGCACACCCAATGCCACAAGTTTCCCACATCCACCTCTATTGCGCAAGGGGGGAATCACACCCAAAAGACAAGAAAAAAAAAGGAACGACAAACCCGAATCAGACACAAGAAAAAAGAAGTTAAATGACAAAGAACGAGAAAATCAAGAGAATGATGATAAACGCCCCCATTTCTTAATAGTAGCGCCGGATCCCATGAAACTGTGCTGTAAGTGACTGAGAAGATGAATGATCCCGGTACAGAAAACAGCCTTTTTCATCCCACAATAGAAAGGACGCATACAATGCGAATGAGTCATTTCTATGCAAGAAAAAGAAAAAGCCGTCCCGAACCAAAAAAGAAGTCTTAACCCAAGAAAAATAATGTCCATGGGACGAATGAGTGGCTTGAGTAGGCGGTGGTTTTTTTTTCGTTAGATGGTGACGATAGAAAAAAAGAGATGTGTTTCGAAAAGTCGAGTTCGCTTGCCGTCTATATGATAATGTATCGGCCTTGCCCAGTCGTTCAGACGCCCTTGGTCGTTATCGTGCCTTTGATCATGGATGGTCTCTTCAAGTAAATGTATGAATGTTGTTTTGTTTTCCGTGCGCCGAAAAATGCGGTTAATGATCCGTGGGTATCCTAAGCACAATGCACCATTTCTGCCTCCTCTCCGGGTGGTGGGTGTCGATCGACATATGAGTGTGCGCCTGTGAGAGGGTGTCTAGGAAGTGCCACCGACGCAGAAGAGCTCTATCTCTCCTACGCCTCCTGAGTACATGTTCCTGACACCTTCGCGCCACTCCATGAAGGCGATCTGGATATCATCGTCGCCTTCGATGGCCACAAAGTCACCGTCTTCGTCGCGGTATCGAAGCTTGAGCAGGCCCTTGCTGATACTGCTAGTAGTGAAGCGGGCGAGCTTGGCGTCGATGCGATCAACAAGAGACTGATAGGTAATGTTGAAAGCCACGACCAGGGTGACGTAGTTTCCTGCCTCGCAGTTCACCCGGACCTTGAGCTGTGTTGGGAGGGGCATTTCCGGGCTTAGAGGGTTCGAGTTTGGTGGCAATGTTGCTGTACCAAGAGCTGGGGACACGGTTCGTGAGTTGGCGGCAGCAGCGTCAACACGAAGAGAATTGCCTCCAGCACCGGGTGTCATTGATCGTGGATGAACTGGTTGTGAAGGGAAGTGGTTCATGCTGCCGCCCACGCTTCCGGTGTGCTTGTGCATGCGCTCTCGCTGAGCGCCTGGGCTGTTTGTTTGAGCCCGAGTTGGCTGTTCATTTCTTGGTGAGCCTGTTTGTTCCCGGCCAATGCTGGGGTTGTGGCCAGGATGCAAGTGTTGAGGAATACCAGGGACTGCTGGGATGTTTCCGTGGCTAGGCTGTCGCGTGCGTGGCATTCCTGGTCCGTTAATATCAGGAGTGCTGTACGAGCGGTTCCTCTGTTGAGCGGCGAGAGCCGCCTGGTTGTTTGAGGCCATTGCTGGCAGAGAGGGTCCACGAGGGTTACGTCCATGAGGGTTCGGTGAAGGGCCGTCGCGAGAGGGAGCGCGTGGCATGGCGGGTGCGGTGTAGCGGTTGCCGTTACCATCCTCCCATGTTGGCTGAGGAGTAGCACTCTTGGGGAGGCCATAGTGAGGTGTTGTAAACATTCCGCTGGTGGTGCTGGTTCTTGATGATGCTGGCGACTCGGCGACAGGAGAGAAGTAACTATCGCCCGCCCAGGCGCCGGGTGAATGGGCACCATTCGCTGCTGTCTGAAGGCTGAGAGGTGCGGGAGGCGCTGGTAGAGGGAATCGAGGCGGAGGCGCTCTCACCATACCGGCCAGTGAAGCAGAGCTCTCTCCGGTTCCAGCTCGAGCTCGAAGGTTACTGGTTGAAGCTGTTCGAGGCACGATGCCCGCAGGTGGTCCAGTGTGGTACCCAGCGGGTGCTGTTGCTGGTCCGAGGTCTTCATCATCGTCGTCTTCCTGCAGGTATGGATTCTCCAGTCCAGCTCCATGCTCACGTGTCCAAGCAAAGTCGGTTGAAAGCGAGTCTGAGTTCGAAGATTGGCGCGGCACGTTATGCTTCCTCTGGGTCTCCAGAGTCATCACCCATTTCCTTAAAGTCTCCTCGTTTAGGAACTTGATAACAAAGTTCTCAACACCGGGGTCTCCCTTCCACCAAATCTGCACACTGTGGTTGCCTTTCGAGAGTTAGTTATGTCAATTACTCCGAGGTTCATAACTCACCTGGCTTAGAGAAGGACACAATGTCAGTCACATTAGTCATGAAGATCCTGCCCTTCAATTGAAGCTTGGCACTCTTGTTCCGTGTCTTGGTTCCCGATGACCGCAGCTTGTCCTTCTTATCCTTGCTCTTGCTTGATGAGATCTCCTTGCAGCACAGGAGAATAGACTCGAAAAGGTAGATTTCGTACTTTTCAAGGTTAGTGTCGGCCCCTTGGAATCTGGCCAGCAGACTTACATCCTTCTCTTGATCTGTCTTTCCGGTGATCACACCATACACGCCATGAAGGAGAAGCTTGCCAAATTGCTCCACCTTGTGGCTCTTCCAGTCCTCAACTCGGTTTGTAAGGTCCTCGAGAGCCTCATCAAGCAAGTCGCGGTTAACGGCTTCGTTAGCCTTCTTCAGCACTCGCTCAGCGGCTTCACAACCGCTAGTCAAGTCCATCTTGATCTCATCATCCTCTGTCTTCTTGTTCAAATCCTGCCATGCATTAGCTATCGAACATCGAAAAGGCGCAATTAACCTACCTTCAGCAACAGTGGATATTTCACTAGTCTTTGCATGGGCTTTAGCAGGAAACCATCCAGGGTGTTGAAATCGGCTGCCACGGGGTGCGAGGAGCGTTGAATTTTGTCGAAAACCTGATTCGCAACCATGGCCGCCTTACGCTGGTTGGCGATAAAAGGCTGGTAAATGTCGAACGCATCCTCGTACATAATGAAGGGAGCCCCCCATCGTTGGGCGTCAGCGGACATGGAGTTTGTCGTCTCTACTCGAATCAAAAAGCGGCGCTGGAAATCGAGAATGGCGTTGATGTTGAGGAAGATCTGATGAAGAGTATCACCGGGAATCTCGCCTTGTTGTTCGAGTGTCTTCTTCAAGTCGTGCAGGTTCTCGAGATCTTGAACGTATTTTCGCTCGGTGTCGACAAGTTCACGGATGATGTGGTCTCGGTATGTCATCTGTGCGCCCGTGGGCTCGTTGTTTCCATCCCCGGATTCTGGTAAAGGTTGAAGGAGATAACCGCGCTCCTCTGCTCGATCCAAGACGTAATTAACAACTTGAGTCACCTATTTCATCACTTTAGCTCAGTCTACACATCATAGGCGGCATCTACCAACCTTTACAAAGCCGCTGGTGTCGTTGCCCATCAAGTCAGTTATCACAAAACTATGGGAAGATGGAATATCTAGGTCTTTCATGCAGGCCTGGACGAATTTGAAGATGGCGATCTTGGACTTCTTAGCTTCATTAGCGCTAGGGTCCTCGACCTTGAGCTCTTCATTAGGTCGCAGGGCATTGTAAATGAGGAGTAAGGGGTATCCTGTTCGGAATAGGTTCCATAGAGGATCAACAGGATCATTAGGGTCAAGCTGATCCAGGTAAGGGTCGAAGCCAGGAACCTGAGCCAAGCGCTGCTTGAGCGAGATGCAAATCTGGTAAAGCGATCGTGAAGCGTCGGCCTTTTGGTTGATAATGTTCGCTGTGGCTAGCACGGGGCCGCCGTTCTGTGGTGTGGCAGTGGTAGCCGTCGACAGAGAACTCAACGAAGCCGAGGAGCCAGCAAAGGCTGTCGAGCCCGAGAGTTGACTGGCGCGCGGCGCATGGTTCATACTGCTCTGCGAGAAGCCAATGAATCCGTTGGAGTTTGGCTGAAAGACCGGGGCAGTATTATTTCGTAGCAACGGGGCATGGGCCATAGCCTTCTACGCCATCCGTCGAGAGGAGCGACTTGGGAGAGAGTTGAGATAGAGAGACGAAGCCGACAGCAGGGAGGGCGAGAGGGACGTTGCAGCGAGGTAAAGGATGTCGAGGGAGATCGGTTCGTATGGAAGCGCCGTGGGGATTGTCTTGGGTGTGAAATGTCTAGGGATGTCACTTGGCGTTGGACTCAGGAACGTTTCAACGAGCGGCTCGACGTCATTCGGCGGTGAATCAGCGTGAGATTCCAACGTTGAGTTTTCGCAGCTGCAAGACACGACAGGCGGGGTAAGGGGGTGCTGAGGAAGAAGCGTCGAAGCGAAGCGGCTGTCTAAGGGAGTAATTCGCAGGTTGGAGCGACAAAGAATTGATCGCGGCGGCAGTCCCTCTTTGAACGTATACAGTATCGGCAGCGGGCCTGGTGATGGCTGGTCGAGAGTGTAGAGGTGGTGGTCTCGGGGGGTCAGGCGGTGGAGCGATCGAAGGGGGGGTTTAGTGAAGCGGATCGACGATGCCGAAATGGAAGCTGGACAGTTTTTGAAACGATGGGAGTAGATTCTTGTCTGATCTGGCAGGCGGGCCAAGTATTCCGATGTGAGAGTTTTTGACTTTTTGTGGGTGAGGACAGTGGAATGAAATTAGAGCCAGAACAAACCGTTGTTGCCGCAGTTTTGGTCAAAGGAAGGATTTCGACGAGGCTGGGCGTAGGTTTAAGGTAAGGTTGAAGCGGACGGCAGAT